TCCTTCAGAAGTTTTCAATTGTGTGAAGCTGGTGGCATGGCTTAAGTGGTAGGCCGAGTTCAAATGCCAGTATGGTCAAAAAATAAATAAATAAATAAATGGTGGTAAAAAATACACATAAAATTTAAACCATTTTAAGCACTCAGTCCGGGATTGTTAAGTGCACTCACATTGCTGTGCAAACTCCAGACTCTTTCCATGGTACAAAGCACAAACTACGCCCATCAAATGAATCCCCTCCTTCCTCCCTCAGTCCCTGGTGCCCTTCTACTTTGCTCTCTGAGTTTGCCTTCTCTGAGTACCTATATAAGTGGAGTCATACAGTATTCTTCCTCTTGTGATGGGCTTATTTCACGTAGCACCACGTCCTCACGTGTCAGAATCCCCTTCCTTATCAGAGGAATATTCCATTGTATTTCTATAGGACATTTTGTCTGTCCATCCACCTATCCCCCACAGACAGGCGGGCTTCTACCCCTTAGCTGTTGTGAATAACGCTATCAATAATGGCATACATCAGGCTTTGAGCCCCTGCTTTCTGGTTTTTTTGGATATATTTCAGAAGTGGAGTTGATTCTATGGAGAATTGTATTGTAAATTTCTAAAATTGTTTGAGGAATATCACAGCAGCTGTACAATTTTATATTCCACTCACAATGCCCAAGGATTTGAACTCTCCACATCTTGCCAACACTTTCTTTTGTGATAGTAGTCATCCTAATGGTATGAGGTGCTTTTGAGCACTAGGAGCATTAGGAGCATTAGGAGGTACCTAATGGTATGAGGTACCTCCCTAATGTTTAGTGATGTTGAATGTATTTTCACATTCATATTAGCTATTTTTCCATCTTCTTCAATGAAATGCCTGTTAAGTCCTTTGTCCATTTTAGAATCAGGGTTTTTTGTTTTATTTTTTGTGGAAGCCCTGGGGTTTGAACTCAGGACCTTGTGCTTGCTAGGCTGGCGTTCTACTATTTAAGCCATTCCACCAGCCCCCTAAAATCAGTTTTTAATTGCTGCATGTTAAGTTTTTTATGTATTCTGGGTATCAACTCTTTGTCATATAAATAATTTGTCAATATTCCCCCTCTCCTGCAGGTTGCCTTTCTACTCTATGAAATGGGCCCTTCGATGCACAGCAGCTGGAAATCTTGCTTACCTATGTCTCCTTTTGTTATCTATGCTTTTCATATACAACATTTTTCATATACATTGCTGGACTTTTTTGATCAGCTAGTATTTTGCTATCATCTGTTTTCATGAACTATTATAATTTCCTTTCCTGTGATATCTTTTCTGGTTTTGTTTTCAGTGATTACCTTGGAGAATGAGTTGGGTAGTGTATCTTCCTTTTCCATTTTTTTTTTCTGGAAGAGTTTGAAAAGGATTGGTGTTATTCTTAAAATGCTTGATAGAAATTAGTTTTTTTCCCTTTTTGTGTGTGTGGTATGGGAGATTGAACACAGGTACTTGCACATGCTAGGCTGGTACTCTACTTGGGCTATGCTAATTTCTTTGCTATAGCTCTCTTCACAAAACTGTTATTAGCTACAAAATACTTGTCTATCATATATCCAGGTGGTCCCTGGCTTACAATGTTGACTTTATTGTATGAAAGCAATAAGCCTTTACTAGAAACAGTACTTCTGATTCTGAACTTTCCCTGGGCTAGCAATATGTTGTACAATGTTGCAGTGCTGACCAGGGGCAGCTCCTGGTCAGCCATGCAACTTCCAGGGGAAACAACCCATACCCTTGGGTGCCCAGTGTTACTAAGCTAGGACAGTCAGTAGGTTAGGGGTACTAAATAGACTTTAGACTGGTATTTTTAGCTGATGGTGTGTTTTAGGGACGGAACTCTACTAAAGTCAAGGAGCATCTGTAGCGAAGTTTAGAACTGATCCCCCACACTGGCTGCTGTGTTGAGAAGACAATGGGGGAACAGGACTGTCGGTGAGAGCAGTCAGGTGGTTACCTAGATTACTCAGGTTAGAGTGGTAGTAGCTTGAACCAGAGCGGTGATGGTTTCCATGATGAAGCATGGTCAGATTCTGGATACATTTTGAAAATTGAACCCATAGTTCTAATCTGAGGGATTGGATGTGAACTGTGAGATAAACAGAAGAATCAACCATGATGCCAGATTTTCGCTTAAGCAATTGCCATTAACTGAAAGCCTGTGGGAGGTGCAGGTTCTGGGAGAAAGACTGGCTTGGATCACTGTTAGTTTCAGATGTCCGCTAGATAGTCAAGGGAATACAGCTATCTAGTTGTCCACAGGCAGCTGGATGAGTCAGTTTAAGAGAGCTGGGCTAGAGACAAACATTTACCATTCAGCAGCATGTAGGTGATTGGTACAGGAGCTGTCTGGATGCTAGGAACTAAACTGTCACTGTGCTTCTGTCATTGGCTAGCTTCTGTGCTGTCAGAAGCCTTCTCTTAAAAAAACAAAACAATAAAAAACCGTGGAAGGCAGCTCTGTTGCTCCACATAGCCAGGAGAGCATGAGCACCATGAAGCTGGTACTGGGCTTCTCCACATCCCTTGCCCTGGGGCAGGATAATGCCCAGGCCTTATCACGCTTTCCAGTCTCCCTGTGGGTCAGCTTCCAATTATCACAGTAGTAGCTGGCTTACCATGTGGCTGCCTTCTCTTTCCTACAGGAGCCCCCTCTCCTGCTGATTGCTTTCACCTGAAGCATGCTTTGAGCTTCTGGTTCTGGAAGAACCTAAACTAAGGGAATAATCTGAAAACTGAGAATGAGTACAGAGAAGAGGGGCTAACTCAGCCTGAACACTGGTGCAATACAGATGCAGAGGTGAGGGAAATGAGGCAGCAAAGCAGGCCATGTGTAGGAGTGGGAGAGACCAGGAAGCATGGGCAATAGAGGAAGGACAATGAATCTGGGTGACATGGTGAGTGGCCATGGAATTTTGGCTGTCTAAGAATACAGGCCTGAGAGAAAGGAAGAACTGTGGAAAGATAGTAGAATCAGTGATCTGAAATTGTGGTGGGATCACAGGATTACTGGGATCTCCTGCAGGGAATGGACACACGCAGGACTTATTGAGAGGAGGCTGAACTCTGAGGTTATGGAGTTGAGGTTCCTGTGTAGAGGACTGGGCTCATTGGGCTCCAGGGCCAGACCATGGCATGAATGTCTTCTCTTTGGAGGAACAAGAGACCAGCGAGTTGGGTGAAAGCATCATTTGGACAATGACCATGAAATTAGTTTGAACACAGTGACATTGATCAGTCAGCTAAAATCTTCAATGATTAGGGGTTGTGACCAGGTTGGGAGCTAAGGAAACTGCAAAATGAAAGAGTACAATGACGACATGAAGTTTTTCTTGAACAAATGATGCCTCCTATGTTCTGAGCAGTTGCAAGCAGCATCATGTGTCTATCGATAAACTAACTGTGTAATTTTTTTGGCAGTACTGGGGTTTGAACTCAGGCCTTCATGCTTGCTAGGCATGCACTCTACCACTTGAACCAGGTCCCCAGCCCTTTTTGCTTTAGTTGCTTTTGGATAGGAACTGGCATTTATTCCCAGGGCCAGCCCGGATCTCTATCCTAATTTAAGCATCCTGTGTAGTTGAAATGACAGACTTGCTGCCACACACAGCTTATTTGAAATGGGGGTCTTGTTAACTTTTTGCCTGGGCTGCCCTTGAATGGCAATCCTCTGACCTCTGTCTCCCAAGTAGCTGGGATTACAGGTATGAGCCAATATGCCTTACCTTAAATATTAAGTCATTTTTGTAACAAGCCTACAAGTAGCATTTTACCCACCTGTACAGATACTAGAAGCAAAAGAAGGTAACTACTTGCTCAGTCCCTCAGCGAGCAGTGGTTGCTGGAATTTAAGCCCCACCTGTCTCATTCTAACCTCCATTCTATACTGTCATGCCACTTTGTCCCACGTATGGGGAAGAGTGGTATTTAATGGAGAAAGGTCTAGGAGCAGCAAAAGCAGCAAGGACACTTATCTCACTTCAAATGCCACTGACATGAGAGTTGTGGGGGTGAAAGCAGCGCTTTTCAAAAGGGTTATGAGGGCAGGCACGCCCTACTTATCCTGGATCACCCTGTCATTCTCTACTGCATGCAGACTACAGCTCTCAGAAACCTGACAGAAAGTACCTATTTAAGGAAAAAAATTAATTATTTGCTTTTGACTGCTTTTTTCTTAATGACAAGTAATACTCAGAAAATACTCTGCAGAAGTGTGTTTGCTAAGCTGGGCGATGCTGAATTTTACCAAATGTACTTGATTAGTCAGCTATCTAATTTCTTCCTCCTTTAGCTTTATTACTGGTGATATATGAACAGATTTATCATTTTCTGAAGCATCGCTGCATTCTTGGGATAACACATCCTGGTTACCATGCCCATTTGTTCTCACCGAATTTAGGGATTCCTGAGTCTGTGCTCAGTGAGAATGGTTTGCTGTTCTTTTCTTGTGATACCTTTGTTAGGAGTATGAAAGTTTGGTAAGTGGGTCATTTTGGTTTGTCAAAGTTAAGTAGGATACTTACAAAGCTAAGTAGCAGTTTGTCATGAGGGACTTGAGTAGATAGGAACCAGACAGCTGGAGTGGTGGCCCTGCCACTTGGCCGTCCAGGGCTTAGGTGAGAGGGTCTGGACTTCCCTTTCTCAACCAGGCTTCATGTGAACCACAGAATACGATTTAAGAGACTCTTCTCAGTTCTCTCACGTATAGCACCTAACTAGTATCACTCCAGAGAAACTGGTTACATACAAAAGGGATCCGGTATTCCTTTCTTAGTGCTGATGTGGTAGATTACCACAAATGCAGCAGTTTAAAACAACACACATTTATTCTCTTAAAAGATCTGGATGCCAGGGTCCAAATCCATCTCACCAGGCTAGTCAGTGTCAGCAGGGCTGGCTCCTCCTGAAGGCTCAGGGGAGAATTTTTCTTTGCCTCTTTCAACTTCTTTCATATATTTCCCTTGGCTTATAATAGCCCTTCTTCTAAGTGCATCATTCCAGTCTGCATGCACCACCACACACCCTTCTCCTCTCTAGTTGTTCCATCTCCCTCCCTGGTGCTAGGGATCGAACCCAACACCTTGCACATACAAGGCAAGGAGTGAGCACTCTACCACTTGACTCATACCCCAGCCCTTTTGTTTGTATTTTGTTTTTGAGATAAGTCTCCCTAACTTTTCCCAGGCTTGCCTTGAACTCTTGATCTACCTGCTTCTAACTCTCCAGTAGCTACCACCACGCTTGGCTCCTCTGCCACCTCTTACTGGGACACACGATTGTATTTAGGACCCTCTACGATAATCTTCCTACCTCAAAATCTTTAGCTTTAATCACTTCTGCAAAGTCCTCTTTGCCATATAAGGTAAGTAACAGGCTTTAGGAATGAGGACCTGGTTATCTTTGGAGACCACTATTTAGCCACACACAGATATCTAGGGCTTAATCCTCTTCTAGATCCTGGTTGAGAAAGGCTATCTAGATCATGTGGTCATCGGATCTGCAGATGGTACAAAACTGTGACCCCAATAGGGTCCTGACTGACTCTGAATGACAAAACTACCAAATGGAATTTGAAGGTATATGACTTTCATACATCCTGTATAGAATGCTTATAAAAGGCTTCAAGATGTTAGCTGATGATTCCAGGAAAAAAATGTACTGGGTTTTATCAGAATTGGCATCTGAAGTGAAAACAAGAGACTTGCTCCTGTCGGTCTGGTTTTTGGAGCCACTGAGCAGGCCTTGGCTCTGCGGGTGACCTGGCTTGCCTCCCACAATGGAACCTGTCTGTGGAAAGCTACTGGGACTGATAGTGAGGCTGAGCTGATACCAAGACTGACACAGGAGAGTGACAGGCTTCTGCATGATGGACAGAGGCCACAGAGGGGAGAAATGCTTTTCTTTTCCCCTGAGTCTGGATGACTATCTGGCAGGGATGCATAGGAGAGGGAAGAGGGTGGGTATTCATTTAAGGTTCCTATCAAACTGTGAGCCACCCCCCGCCCCTCAACTACATTAAATTTTACTTGGGGAAACCAAGACCCCGACAGAAAAGTCACTTGCATGGACTTATAAAGTTAAAGCAAAGTCAACTATTAAAAACTCATCATTTCTAGCCATCTTCAGATATCAACACCCACTGAAAACTCAGCTCTTTTGAAACACATGTGAGGAAGTAAATTTCAGAGAAAAGATTTAACATTGAGTTTTTAAATACACAAGCCATAAATTATCAAAGCAGTGATGTTCTGGGGAGTTGTTCCATTCATCCCAGGGAAGGGAGCAAGAGGCTGAGTCCAGTTGTAAGGCTGTTGAGATTCACAGCCTGTTGGAGGCTGCCAGCGGGACAGTGTTGAGGGAAATCAGTCTAGATTTCATGGGAAACAACTTTCTTGAGCTTAGAACTTCTCAAATGTTCCATATTCTTGACATGAGGCTCCTTTTACAGAATGGATTTTCTTAATGGTTCATTTGGTACCAAAAGCAAGTGGTTAATGAACATAAGATCCCAGAGAGTTAATACTGCTTGTCACAATCTCTGAGCACTGATCAATGTTCTTCTTAATCCTATAGAATTTCTCCACATACTCAGAACGTCCTAAGAGCTCCACAAAATCTTCATCATGAGTTATCACCAGAAGCTGGAAGTTTCGCTGCTGTGAGCGACTTTTTATTATCCTGAAACAATACATTTACAACACTTTATTACTAAAGACCATAAATTTGGAAAAGCATCAGCAAACCTTGCTAGACACATGAACCGCTTTGGGTGGCAACCATGATTTTCCTGTGCTGTGAGTGTCAGGGCCTCTGGCTGGCCTGCAGGAAATTGGGGAGAGCTGGGGATGGTCCTTTAGCCCAGACAGGTAGGAGTCTCGTCTCCTCTCCAGGCAATGGAGATGCATGGCCTGATTCCCCACCTCGGTCTGGCATAGGGACCAATTAAAACCAGGTCAAGAATTCTCTAGATGACAAAATTGTTCTTCCTAAAGCAGTTAGAAGTATTCTAGAAATACCTAAACTGCTCAACTTTAGGAGTCTGCCTTTCTCCTCTGCCCAGATTTTCCTGACCCACTGCTAGTTTTCTCTGGAAGAAAGTTTAAAAATAATAAAGACAGACAACAAGTAGGGGAATAACACTGTCTTCTTAAGAGCTGGGTCTACTTAGAATTCTGCTACCACTAGTCACTAGATGCATCAGTACTATGACACACAGGGGACCTGAGTGGGTGTATTGGGAGCATTTTTGCTCATTATCTATATGCTGAGGTAACCAGTTATAAGACTGAGACCTGAAAGACTTTTAACTAACCACTTATTTGTTGCTTGCCTGGAGCTGGATGCACTTGAGGTTTCAAAAGCATCAGCCCTTCCTTGCTGGTCCCTTGGAGAACAACACTCTGTGTTGCTCAGTTCTCCTGGTCCAACCTGTGCTGCCAGACAGGAAACGACATCTCTACCAGAAAGAGTCTTTCTGGAGCTAAGAGTGTTCGAAACACTTCCTCCTACCTCAGGGTTAGTGTCTTTCCTCTGCCACCACAGTGTGTAAGCAAGTGCTACCCAACTGTGAAGCCTGTCCCCATACAGGTGAATGTGGTAAAAAGGTATGTGCAATTTTACCCTCTCTAAATTCTACTTAAGTCACTGACATGCCTTTTGAAGGAAAGCTCTGTTCTTCCTCAGAGTTGTTGTTTGACACATGAAAAGCTGGAGAGATAGTGCTAAACTCACCACCTCCACCACCACCATCTGCAGCTCTACCACCTACAGCTGTCTAGCAGGGCACACCGACTCCTGTGCACGACATGTGGGTTCACAGGAAACCCAAACAAAGCTGGAAACTCCTCACCCTGACTTTCCCTATGAACATATGTGGGGAGAGGCAGGATGTGTCTAGGGTTACTGTTCACTGTTGTAGTTCCTTTTCAAGGGAATTTGAAGAATTACTATCAAGAGGTAAAGGGCAGGGCTGGCCGGCCCCCACTGGCTTCCATGAGAAGGACACATATGGCAAAGGTATACCAAAGAACTCTCTTGATCTTCCTTAAAAAACATAACCACCTGCCTGCAAATTTAAGATACTTACTCAACCAGAGCATGTGCAAGAGATTCAATATTTTCTCGATCAAGGTTTGTAGTTGGTTCATCCAAGGCAAGGATGCCACAGTTCAGGCAGAATGTTTCAGCAAGTGCCAGGCGGATGATGAGTGAGGCCAACACCTAGAAAAAAGCCTGAGTTGCACAGCAGACCTGGCACAGTCTCTTTAGAAGGGAAATGTCACTGATGTTAGGGGAATCACTACTGTGTGGGACAGCCTAGCATTGTGACCAGACTCTGGTTCCTCTAGAAGGAAAACTATCAATTGTATTCTCTCAGCCCATCATTTGCAACGAAATAAAGTGCTGGAATCCTTTCCCGAACACACTAAAACCAGAACAAAACAAAAAACACAACACAACTGTTGTATCAAAACTTGAAATCACAGACTTGAAACAATGATGCATTATCATTTATCTCTAACTAATAATTTTAATAAAGGCATAAAGTTAAAAATTCTTGACCAGGCCCTTACTAGTTTCCTGATGATGAGACCTATTAGAAAATTTCTAATTCAGAGACATCCACTCTCATAGTCTCTAAATCTCCATGTTTTGCGGTCCAAAAGCAGCACCAGGTGTTTTGTATGTATTATTTTGAGACTGAGAGGGAAAAATAGCGATAGGTCAAAGTATGAGGATGAACACAGAAGTACGGTTTTACTTAAGCTTACCTGCAGGAAACCCAGGTTCACGGGAGCTGTTAGGCACTTTCATGGTTAACAGAAACCTAATAGTAAAACCTTCAGACTCAGCTGAAGCCATCTGAGAGTACAAGGGACAGAGAATTAAGAGTGCAGGACTACTGTGGGAAGCATAAACTACTCTTACATGAATTCTAAATTTCTTCTCCTGCTGATTTTGTAAGCTGGCAATTTTCAAGTAATATACACTTTCTTTGATGCCCAGGGCATGCCGGCAGACTGCAGAGTCCAGGGCCTCACTGCTGCCCCTTTGGAGGATAGACACTTAATTCCTGTCTTTGAACCCCACTGTTGCCAATTCTACTACCACCACTCTCATGCACACATAGAGCTGCAGCCTGGCCTGTAGGGACTTAGTGAAAGACAGTATGAGGGACAGTGGAGGCCTCATACTGCCAGGGAAGCAATTACTATTAACTAATGTTCATAACTTAAGGGTAGTTACAGGAAATCTACTTTTGCTCAGAAAGTACTTTTGAAAGCATTTATCTGGAGAGATTATGTTTCAAACTTATTTATAATTAACACTAAAAATCATCAAGCAAGTATGTGATTATAGATCACAAATTTGACATTTTTGCAGACTATGATTTAGATAGTAATCTGCAGATGCTTTAACTTGGTATCAGCTATTGGCAATAGCTACGTGGTATATTCATTAAGTAAAAAACTGAAAACTATGGGATCTATGTGGTATGTTTGTTAAGTAAAAAACTGAAAACTATGGGAAACTCAGATAATATGAGCATTTTTTTCTAGGACTATGAAATTTTATGAAAATCAGGGCATTGAGGTGTATTTGGTGTAATATTTTGCTTCTAATCTGAAAGAAGAAAGCTGAGGAATCTGAGAAATCTTTGGTACAAACCTGTGCAGTGTAAGAACCTAGCCTTGTTCCCCAGGAGGCAAGTCCCATGTTCCCGATTCTTTAAAATGTTCTTCTTTCTGACTTTTCTCTGTGCTCCATATCCAACCTAGGCTGTCCTCCCAGCGCCTCCAGCTGGTCTGACCAAGTGACTACATCCTATGTATGTGGTGCTGGCAGCAGAGGCCCCTGGATGTATCAAAGTCCATGGACTAGAGACCCTCGTTTAGATGGTCTGAGGCTCAAAGGCCAGGCTGGAGTAGAGGGGACTCAGTGCAGGGGTTGTACTCTCAAGAGACTCTCTTATAGATCGCGATGCCTCATCTGGTTCAACCTAGGCTCTGGTTTGCTAGTTTTTTTGTGACTCATAGTATAATCACTACTAATACAGTTAATTCTGAAGCGTACTCTCCATTTGAATCCTCTGAAATCAGAATGCATCTACGGTTGTAATTGCATTTATTCCTTCTTGGCACATAAAGCAGTCCAGTCTTACAGCTTATGCAGCAGCGACCTTACTCTGAGAAGGAGTACTGTGAGACCATAAAGGGTTCAGTCTGTCCTGTAAAAAGCTGCAGGCCCTTCTCTTAAAAATCAACTTTACAGAGGGATGCAGGGGATACTGGTTGCCACCAGGAAGGTATGATGGTAGCTGTACCTGTTTCCCTTCGCATGGTGGCAAGAAGCTTCCTGTCATTCAAGGGCAACCATGGTGCTTCCAAGGCACCGTGTCTGTCTGTCCAATTCTTCATGTAAGTTGTCTCCCTAGACTCTTGAGATACCTGCCTTTTGTCCAGCACTGCACCGTCCTCGCATATCCAAGGCTGTGTCTCCCTTTAGCATCACCACTCGGTAGTTATAATTCCTCCTTTTATCAGAAGCTGATACATTTTCATCGGCATCAGACCGAATTTCTATGTATTCAATGTCTGACACAAAAAGAAGAATATTTTAGAGGAATCGACACTGCAGCTTTTGTTGTTTACAAACATTAGCCAGCAAGCTGAGGAGCAACATGTAAGGCTGACATCACCTGGGAAAGCACTGGCTGATTTTGAACCTATTTCTCTGGCTGAGCAGATTCAGGAGACTGGTAATCTGGCCAGAAGCAACCGGGATGCCCCAACCTTCAGCCTCAGCTCCTTCTCTAAAGAGTTTCCTTTGGAGGCTTTTCTTCTTAATTGCTCTGGGACTTGTCCCTACCTCCACTTTAACAGAACCTATTGGGCCATCATCTAAATACAATGTCTAATGCAGTCAAATGTGTAAGCCCTATCAGATTTTGGAAGAGAAGCTGCATTTTCTTTTTGTTACAAGATGCTGTCAAGATAAGAACTCTTAAGATAATCTTAAGGAAATGCTCAGGATTCTGGGGAAGTAATGCTGGCATAATGAAGGGCCACATGGGGAAAAGCTGTGGATGGGCTTTGGGAAGAGTATTTATGGCACACTGTATTAATTACCTTGTCCTCGATAGGTGCTTCGCCAAAGATCACGAATAATTTTATTGATTTCTTCCATTTTCATACTGTGAAATTTCATTATTGCTCTGGAAAAAGAAACCATTGGTACTTTAATGGAAAAGCAACGTATACTGTTATATAAAAGATGCATAACAATTCCAGGTAATAGTATATGTTAAATTATAAAAATATGTAACAAAGATAGTATAAATAACTTCATAATGTCATAGAATAACTCTCCCAATACTTTTAATTGTAAAAGCAGAATATGAAAAAGCTAGAAAAGCATGATGAAACCTTGCTGCCTCACTAGTACTGAAAAGCACCAGGTGTTTTCCAGTGCTCCAGAGACCTTACACTTTTCCATTTTTACTCTATGATACAACAGATATCTCTATAAGTAAATACTTAAAAACTGCAAATACTTCAGAAGACAATTCCTTAGTAGGCTTCTTTCGCAGACCATGCAAGCTCATTGGAAGGACTGCCTCCACTGATGCCCACAGGTTATAGGAAGACCTGCTGAACACAGGCCAGTGGGCTCAAGGGAGGGTTGTGTGGTTAGCCAAGGGCCCCCAGCCCGTGGGAACAGAAGCTAACTGTTGCCTGGGCCCTCTTTTAGTACTGTTAATGTTTACCAAAAGCCAGATTCCTATGTTGCTTTTATTCCTCAGATCTATGAAAATTTTACCAAGCAGAAAACAGCTTTGGTTAGAGAGGGTGGTTTAGCAGCCTAAACTGAGCTGAAAGTAAAAATTTTATTTTGTCTTCCTAATGGCAGACAGTCCTAATTCTAAATAAGTGCATTAACTTCCACTTGGTCCTGGTATGCCCCTGTCCCAATTCTTTTTTAAGGTGGTAGTTTCTAAACACTAAAAAGAAGAAATGTTTATAAAAACAAAAGTAGCCTGATAAAATCTAACACTGTTCCTACTACAACCATCTTCCATGAAAAAGACATTCGAGTCTTAGGAAGAAGGTTTATGAACTAATAAATGTCATTCTAGTAGTAAAAAGGCAAACACTGCTACCATCACCATACAAAGGATGTGAGGTGGACTTACTTCCATCTGCAGGCCTCTTATCTGATATATACAAAAAAAGAAACTGAACGTAATGCTACTGCCTCTGCAGAATCATTTCATGATCTTCTGATTCTCAGCCAAAGAGAAAGAAATGACTCAACATAAATACATTTTAAATATCAGATGAAGGATTATTGAAGTAGTAAAGCCTGGAAAAACCATATTCTGCTTCTTGATGAGAATGCAACAAGTCTTCATTTTCTACTTCACATGTTTTTCTCAGTCTAACATTTTACACTCTTTTCAGAAGAGAGATAAAACATCTAAGTTTTGTCTAAAAAACAAAACAAAATAAAACTCAGAACATTCTTGGGATTAATCATGTATAGACTGCCTTTCCATAACTTTATACATTATGATCCTTATTTTTCAAATGACTTTTTAAAAAAGCTACTTTTCTCATCAAGTTAAAAACCTTCAATAACAAACATAAATAATCATTTCCAGTGTGGAGAATAAACTCCGGTAGGGAGTCTCTGCCCTGGCTCCCTGCAGCAAAAGTGGCACATTCTAGCCATGGATAGGTCTGTTGAGACCCAGCACCATAGAAAAGAGCTCTGGTTCACACAGCCAACCCACCCAGGGTGTGTCCCATGGAGCTGAGGCATACTCCTGTAGGCTGGACCCATCAGCTAGTCTTTGTGTCCTCTCTTACTAGTGTGGAGTTTATAACCATACTATACAAGAGATAGGAAAACTACAGCATCTTACCTAAGGAAGTAATGATGATAATAGTGTTTATTATCAATGAGCATTTACCTTATGTGAGGTACAAGTATGCTAAATAGTTGCAAATTATCTCATGTAATCCTCACAACACTGGGAGTTAAAATTTTGTCTACAATTACCACTAACAAAACTGAGATTCAATGAAATTAGTAACTTGCTCAGGATCAGAGAAAAGTGGCTACAATATTAAAAGTCCTAGATTATGATAGTTAAAATAAAAAAAACCAGATTCAGATAGTTTCATGAGTATTATCAAATCTTCAAGACATACTGACCTCCCAAGTATATAAAGTATTACAAAGCAAGGAGAAACACATAAGAAGAGAACAACAAAGTTTAGGTCTATTTTGTTAATGAGAATAGAAATAAGCATTCTATATAAAACCAAACTTAATGGTAAGAATATATAACCAAGTGGTGTTTACCCTAAGAAAAACAGAAAAAAAAAGTTCAAGATAATTTACTGTATCAAGCAGATCAAAAGAAAAAAAGATTATCTCAGTATAACACTGAGTGATAAAAATCCCAAGTGAAAAATGGAAGAAAATTTCCATACTCTGACCAAATTCCTCTCTGGTATCTACAGCAAGCAAGACACTACTCAGCATAGACAGAAGCATCCCCACAGCTCAGTATCGGAGGAGGATACCTGCTATCACGCCTAGTCTAAAATGATGTTGTGGACATCAGCTCAGTCAGACAAGAAAAAGAAATGAGGGCTAAATGAAGGCAAAAAAGAAACTTTTCATTGTTTTTGCAGGTCATATAACTGTATACTTAGAAAATCCAAGAAAACCAACTGAAAAATTAAAGACTCATAAGATAGTCAGAAACAAATTTATATAAATATATAGTTTTATTATCTGGTGGCTAACACCATTAGGAATGACAACAGAAAAAAGGATCCTAGGTTGGGGGCATGGCTCAAGTGCCTGTCTAGCAAGTCAAGGCCCTAAGTTCAAACCCCAGTCTCCTCCCAACTCCCCCCCACCAAAAAAAAAATGAATAAAAAGCTATAACATATGCAGGAAGAAATCTAACAAACAGGTGCAAGATCTAGAGGGAAAAGCTACAAAACTTTACAATAGGACAAAAAGGACTGATTAAATTGGAGACACATGCTAAAAGGTCCAAAAAGGTAGATTCAATATGGCAAAGATATCCATTCTCCTCAAGCAAGCCATAATAAAATGCAATCCAAACGAAAATTCCAAGATTTGAAAACAAAGCAAACAAACAAGCCAAAAGGAATCCATAAGCTGATTCAACACTACTGAGAGATAATGCTAAAATTAAAATTGTGCTGGGGGCCAGTGGCTCACACCCGTAATCTCAGCTACTTGGGAGGCGGAGATTGGGAGCATGGCAGTATGAAGTTGTAAAACCTCATCCCAGCCAATGGCTGGGAATGGTGAAGATGCCTGTCATCCCAGCCATGGGGGAGTGTAGGAGGAGGAGCATGGCCCGAACCCAAGACCCTGTCCCACAAATACCAAACGAAAAAGGGCTGGTGTATGGCTCAAGTGGTGGACAAGGCCCTGGGTTCAGTAGGAAGTACTGCCAAAAGAAAGAAAGAAAGAAAGATTAGTTCTTAAAAAAAAAAAAAAAAAAGTGAAAGTAAGTTGGCATGGCACACACCTGTAGCCCCAGGTACTCAGGAGGCTGAGCCAGGAGGGTCATTTGAGCCCGGGAGTTTAGGACTGCCTAGGCAACATAGTGAGGTCCTATCTAAAAGTTAAATGACAAGCTGGGAACAGGTATTTAAAAGGATTAATACCCAGAATCTATTACCAAAAAAGTACAAATCACTCCAAAACCAATATAAAACAAAACAAAAAACCAACCTAACAGAAAATCTGGCAAAGACCTGTGTATAGGCAATCCCCAGAGAAGAAACACAAGTGCCCAACATATGAAAAGACAACCTCACTAGGAAGCAGTGATCTTTCATGCAGCAGGTTGGTACAAGTTAAAATGGATAATATTGCAGACACAGAAATAGCCAATTTCATATACATTAGTGGAAACACACATTTTCTAAGTGTTTTTGGAAGGCAATTTGGCATTAACAAGTTAAAAATGAACATATCCTCTGACCCAGTAACTTCATTTCTAAGAAGCTATCTTTCTAGTATATCTGACCAAGTGTGCAAAAGATGCATACTGTAGCATAATCAGTAGTAGCCAACTAAAAGCTCCCTACTATGGCCATCCGTGGGCACATCTGCTGTAGGATGTATGTACCTATAAAATACCCATTTATCTGGTTAGCAGTCTGCAAAAAACTGAAACTAGATCCATGTATATCACCCTATACCAATATTAACTCAAAATGGATCAAGGACCTTAATATCAGACCCCAAACTCTAAAGTTGGTACAGGAAAGAGTAGGAAATACTCTGGAATAAATAGGTATAGGCAAGGACTTTCTCAATGGAACCCCAGCAGCACAGCAACTAAGAGATAGCATACATAAATGGGACTTCATAAAACTAAAAAGCTTCTGCTCAACAAAAGAAATGGTCTCTGAACTGAAGAGACCACCCACAGAGTGGGAGAAAATATTTGCCAGCTACACATTAGACAAAGGACTAATAACCAGAATATATAGGGAACTCAAAAAACTAATTTCTCCCAAAATTAATGAACCAATAAAGAAATGGGCAAGTGAACTAAACAGAACTTTCTCAAAAGAAGAAATTCAAATGGCCAAAAAACACATGAAAAAAATGCTCACCATCTCTAGCCATTAAGGAAATGCAAATCAAAACCACACTAAGATTCCACCTCACCCCTGTTAGAATAGCCATCATCAAAAACACCACCAACAGGTGTTGGCAAGGATGTGGGGAAAAAGGAACCCTTATACACTGATGATGGGAATGCAAACTAGTACAACCACTCTGGAAAAAATTTGGAAGCTTCTTAAAAATCTAAACAGATCTGCCATATGATCCAGCAATACCACTCTTGGGGATATACCCAAAGGAATGCAACACAGGTTTTTCCAAAGGCACTTGCACACCCATGTTTATTGCAGCACTATTCACAATAGCCAAGTTATGGAAACAGCCAAGATGCCCCACTATTGATGAATGGATTAAGAAAATGTGGTACACATTTTCCATACACAATGGAATACTATTCAGACATGAAGAAGAATGAAATCTTATCATTTGCAGGTAAATGATGGAACTGGAGAACATCATCCTGAGTGAGATTAGCCAGGCCCAGAAGACCAAAAATCGTATGTTCTCCCTGTTATGTGGACA